CCACCACCACCACCACCACCACCACCACCATCATCATCATCATCATCATCATCATCATCATCATCATCATCAGCCCTTTTACCCTAACCATAAGAAGGCCTGAGCAGGGGCTCAGGCCTTCTTTATGGATGGTTAAGGCTAAATCTGTTTAGTCATAATAAATTCAGAGTAGGCAACAGAAAACTCTGCTTTCGGTCCTATTTAAATAATCTTGGGATCTTTCAAGGGTTTTTATAACACTACATGTGAGCGACCGTCTTTTAGAACTTTTTAAGCTTCTAAAGGTAATTCATATGAGCGTTCACTTGTAACAATACTAAGTAGATTTTTTTTAATAAACAATAACATAAAAGATTCTGGATATTACTCTTTTTAATTTAAACTCAAGAAGAAAGGGAATAAATATATGAAAAAAGAATTTATAATACAATATCAACTGCTTTGACAAAATGAAAGGAACGGAATGGAATGCTTATTTATAATAATATTATACCTAGTCTAGCCATAAGTTATGTTACAAAGAAAATATCGGATAATTTCTAAAAAAATAATTTTGTTTTAAAGTTTTATATGTGATTATGTAGAATAAAAAAGATATGTTAACGGACTAAACTAGTTATTCAAAGTGTCCACCACCCTTAGCTTTGACGCACGCTTTTAAACGGTCGTACCATTCGTTGACGGATTTACGAACGGTTTCCATTGGAAACTTGGTCTTTTCTGCCTCCAAAGATTTCTTGAGCGGCTCAATATTGACTCTTAGAGCAGGCTATGTCCTCTAGCACAGCCTACAATTTATAGTCCAAAGGGTTTAAGTCCGGACTAGCCGAATGCCAATCATCAGCCTTTATGAAGTCTGGAACATTTTGCTTAAGCCAAATTTCGGTAGTGCGCGCCTTATGACCCGGGGCTGAAAATTGCTGGAATTTCCACACTTCGTTTTTGAGTAAGCTGTTGTTGAGAGGGTAAATTACCGCTTCTAACACGGTATCTTGATACATTTTGGCTAAAATTTTCACTCCTTTTTCGCAAAAATGTATTTTTGTAACCCCTTGTTAGAAGACCCCCCACCAAACCATGACGTATGCTGGATGATGAACTTTCGCTGACCTTTGGCCACTACCTCGGAAGCTTCTTTAGAGATGTGTGCATACACTCGATCATTTAGTTAGTTGTAGTGCTCCTCCATTGTAAAGATTTTTTCATCGGTAAAGATTTTTTTTTTGTTTTTCGTCCGCATATCGAAGTAACAGCTGTTTTGACCTTTCGACTCTTCTTTTGTTTTAGTGCCTGATTTAAGGTATATCTTGTGTATCTCCGGTAAGCCCCTAGACTTAAGTCTTATTTGGCAACCCCAGTTTTGTTCGAATAGACCGCAGTCGGCCGGATCTTTCATGGTCATCAATAGACATGGTTTCAGCCTACCTTTGGATGGTACGATACACAAACATTCGGTTAATCCCTAGCTTTTTCAATGTATCAAAAATGTCGGCTGGCTTCTTACTTACTTTGTACAGTGCAATTACTGCAATCCTATTCTCTTTAGTGCCCTACTTCATTTTCAAAACAAACAATTTCTAACCAAAAAAACATACAATAATGGCGGGAAAGAAGTCTATTTTTATCACAGAAGCTAATGTTCAAATTCAAATTAATGTTTCTTTTAAATGTATGTAAACAGCCAGTAACAGAATTTATGGCTAGACTAGGTATATACTACTGATTTATTTATTATTCCATAAAGCATAATTGTTATGTGTTCAGAACAAAATGTTATCTATCTCTCTATCATCCTTTAGATGATGTGGAAACTAAAGCTGGAGGCAGTTATATTTAAGATTCTGAAATAAAGAATCTCATACGATGTTTGAGGGGAGGGGAACTGTAGATAAAGTGTACTTATTAAAGTGTAATTAATAACGGTATGACTCTTTAAAGTTTATATTAATTATTCAGAAACGAAGCTACGCACAGAACTCATTTCACAGGTAAAATAAGAATTATCTCCCAACATCAAATGATCAAAACCGACTGATTAAATAATAAAGTGAATAAAATGCGGCGTACGAGAAACACAAAATGGAGCTGTCTGTAGATGTCGTGAATTAGACTGTGATCTAATTAATTAGATACTCTCATATAATCCACCACCAACTTCCTTTCAACATTAAATGTAGAGCGACAATATCTTAATTACCTATTCTCAAAAATTGTTTAAAACGGAAGTGGGTCATCATTTTAATTATACTGTTGAAATTATTTCGTAATAACGCTATTAAAAGGTTATACTAATTGTATAATTTATTATAATTTAAAAATATTTTTTTAATGATCTAGCAGAGAAGTGAATAAAAATTAATTTGTTTAAGAACAACGGTTTGAAATTGTCCATGAATATACTATACTTTCGATTTATAAAGTCTAGTAAATACAGAACTGATAAAACACAGTTTGAATTTCGCAGTAATATTTGGAGCATAAAATTATTTAGTATCAATAAGGGTACAAATACTATAAAACAGATAACAGTAATATGATTAAAATTATGGACAATGTTGTTAACACAAATGAAACAAACATAATAAAAAACAATCGTCATCATTATTTTCAGCCTATTAATGTCTCTACTGTTAGTCCTTTCCTGCAGATGTCATCATCATCATCATCAGCCGGAAGACGTCCACTGCTGAACATAGGCCTCTCCCTTTGAACGCCACGACGGACGACATTGCGCCAGTTACATTCAGTGGCCGCCCGTGACTCGGACGATGTCGTCCGTCCATCTAGTCGGGGGTCGTCCTGCAGATTGTAGACCAAATCAAACTATAACCAAAAACGTTGGAATTAATTTATATACGAGTAAATAAAAAAAAAGGTTCTTGCAAAGATTAATCCCTACTCCAGATATAAATAAAATTCCCTCTTTGTAATATTTAATAATAGATGGGCCGTATAAATTCAATCATGAGTCCGAATAATGGACACTGCTTGACTCAGTAAAAAGCTTGAAGCAATTTATGTTTTCTCGCTGAAATTTTCGGTTAAAATGGTTCAATCTAGTCTCTCTGAGCTTTTATCGTAAAACATAACCATCGCTAGAATGCTCGTCGTAAGTGAATGCTCCAGTTTATTAGTGCCTGTGAATTAGGGAACCTTACAGGCGTAAGTAGTTATATTCGGTCGTTATCTGCCCGATGTTGTGTGGGATGTAGTGCGCGTCTATTCACCGAGTAAGATTGAGAGATGATTATATTGTTCTTATATTTTCACGTATTAAAGCTCAGTTAAAGGTCAATGTAGTTTGTGGCAGAGAACTCTTCTCGATAAAACAAAGTAATAATTATACCAGAAGCTATAAAAACTGGCGAGTATGTATGAAAAAAGCAATGAAAACTGAAGACGTGAAAGACGTGACGTATCGTGCCTTGTGATATTCGATTCTCTCTGCCTACCCCGCAAAGTTTAGAGAGTTGTCTTAAAGACTAACCTATATAGTATATAGTAATAGAGCATTCTGCTCCTTATGTCTTTGCCTGTAAGTTAGTATTTCATTGGAACATATTTTATTATTAAATTTATTGTTTTTTTTGTAATGTTCAAAAATTTTGCTGCCAGACTGAGAAAAGTTGAGAGAAATACATTTCAAAAACGTAAATCACCGCTTAAATATCTGAGTTTCTCATGAGGGGCATGTTACCTCACGCTTATACTTGAACAAATCATTTATAGATTTTTTATATTATTAATTCCAACAAATGGCGACATGTGTTGTGTCTAATCACAAAGGTTTTCTTTGGTCATAAAAACAGTATGAGCATCCGTCGCAACACACAACAATATTGATACAATTTTCGTATTAACGTTTTTACCAACTTAAAGCCACCAATGGATAACATCATCAAAACAGTAACATACTAGCACAAGGTTTACTGCTGATACAAACTGTTGACTTTTATTTTCAATCCAGTATCCAAAATAAAATGCTTTCAATTCAATTAACGACCACTAAATAAACCAATATAAATTGAAAAGCCAATGAATCCGCAGTTTTACAATTTAAACTGACAGCAGACGATGGTTTACTTGTAGTAATTAATGGACAGCTGGTGAATTATATAAAAGTAGTTCTGAATGAGTATTGTTTATAGATTTTCATCTCATTGTTTGATGTGTGTAAATACACATTGGTATTGTAATCAGCGGAGAGGGCGCAACTGCTCCATTCTGAGCATTTGAATACATTTCAGAAGAAGTAGCTCGGTGGCGTAGTGGATAAGCGCCGCTGCTCGCGATCGTTGTCGTTAAGCAACTGTCGCAAGGGTCAGTCACGGGATGGGTGACCAAAAAAATTATTATCTCGAGCTATTAAGAATAATGTAACTACAATATTCTATATAAAGTATAAAACAAAGTCGCTTCCCGCTATCTGTACGCTGATCTTTCAAATTTCACAATGGATTATAAAGCGGGTTTCATTTCATCAATATATAGAATAAGGTTTTTGTGTATAATATAGCATCATGCGGGCGAAGCCGCTGGCGGAAAGCTAGTTATCTTAGTATCTATAAAGTGAAAAACAAACAAATAGGTTAGCAAAGATACTTTTGAACATTAAAGCAAAGACGATGCTATATATTTATGTATATGAACCAAATACATATAGTCTATTTCCGATATCCTGGAATTAATCGTCGCATCATTACCAGCTGCGTAACTACGTTTCGATCGCTATTCGATTTCAATTAAAATGATGACCCACTTCCGTTACATACAATTTTATGAGACTGAAGTATGTACGTTACGGAATATATGAATAGGTAATTAAGATATTGTCGCTCTACATTTAATATTGAAAGGAAGTTGGTGGTGGATCATGTGAGGGTATCTAATTAATTAGATCACAGTCTAATTCACGACATCTACAGACAGCTCCGTTTTGTGTTTCTCGTACGCCGCATTTTATTCACTTTATTATTTAATCAGTCGGTTTTGATCATTTGATGTTGGGAGGTAATCCTTATTTTACCTGTAAAATGAGTTCTGTGCGTAGCTTCTTTTCTGAATAATTAATATAAACTTTAAAGAGTCATACCGTTATTAATTCTGAAAACGATATTTAGTGTATTTAAAATTGCTGATATGATTCCAAAGAAACGCACTATTTGATAATTTATGGCGCAACGCACGAATATGATTTCATCAAGATTATAAGAACTTTTCGAAAGTTTTGGCATAGTTTATATATATTATACTTAAATGGCATAGTTTTCGAACTTCACAAGTGCTATATAACAGCCTCTAGGCTGACACCAGGTTTAGTCTACTGACCTGATAGAATATATGAATTTTATTTGAACTGATTTCCCCTAGTTTTCTTCGTGGACAAATAGTTCCGATGCTAACAATACAATTCGATGAGAATAATTACACATAATTTTACACCAGAGTGGATAACTTGAGCCGTGTGACTGAAAATAATTTATTGGACTTGGCGCGTGTTAGATTTCACTCATGAACGGTTCAATTTAAATTGGGAGATAAATTATTTACAGCTTCTTTTACTTCTACATAATTGTTAACAAAAAAAGTCTGTGGCAATAGCTGATATCGAAATTCTGTGTTCAAACAAAGTTTATTGTATTTCCATATATAATCTTCATTGCATTGACATCAAATAATGCGATAATAGACAAGGCAACATAAATATTTGTGACTAGCTGTACCCGCGTTTTCGACCGCTAACACTCAAATATTTCTGTTATGAAATAGTACAAAAGCCTTTTTACAGGCAATTTTTTTGTCTGCTCGCGTTGGATAGGCTCTGTAACTGATTATAAAATTTCGTCTACGGTAAGCTATGTACATAATACGCTGGAACATATGCTATCATTTATGCAGGCGAAGTCGGAGCTAATTTGATAGAAATTGGTTCACTTACATAAAAATTATACATACCCGTTGAACATAGAAAATCCACCTTTCGGATTTTCAATGAATGCAAAGAAAACAAAGTACACAATATTTGTTATTTCGCTAATTACGACAGGCTACAGCCGAGGACTAAAAAAAAAATAACAACTTAATATTACTAAATTATTAATTAAGGAAAAGTGATTTTACAATTTAATTTTTATAATTAAAAAGTGTCGGTTCCGGAGTTCGACGTATGTGAAGTTACATTGCGAGGTTCCCGCGTGGAGCTGAGTCGGCGCCTCGTGATACCTAAGTTTCCGCTGCTTGCGTACATTGCTATCGAGGTCACGCAGTGTGATCGTTTGTCTGGTGTCTTCTGTACTTAACACGCTGATATAAACATATCATGTAAATATTTCGGTAACCTCATGAAAGACATATTTTGTTTTGTTATAAAAGCTAAACTATTGAATCGAATTTGATTAAATTTCCTCAGGTATATACCTCGGATTACCTCGGTCCGTGTAGCTGTCGAATAAAAAAATAATAATTTTGAAAGTTGGACAATATGGCCCGGAGAAATCGAGGATCATACACAAAATAAACATACATCGTCGTCGAACTACAACCTCCTCCATTTCGATTATGAAGTCGGTTAAAACATATCCAAATATTGTAAAAAATACACTGGACAGCAAAACTAAGTTTCACACTTTTAAAATGGCAATAACTTTTTAAGTACACAAGATACACTATCGAAATAAAAAGGACTCGAAAAAGAATTTAATTTAGTAAAATAAAGTAAATAAAGCTGATAAAATTTACTATAACATGGTATTTATTTTAAATCGCTAAACTTATATAGATTACAAAAAAAATAGGTTTCAAAAGTGTGATACATACTTTTGCAGGTCAGTGTAACAACATTTAATTTTTTCTATTTTAATTTTAAAAATAGTATTTTTCTGGTTATTTTTGTAACTAGGACAAACCATTTAACATCAACATATGTATTTTACCATTGCTGATAATTAAGCAATAAGTCCTGCTAAATACTTTCTAATCCTCTCCCTTAAGGAGACTTAAGCGACCTCTCTAATCTCCTTACCGAGGAGGATCCAAAGAATATATTTTGATAGTAGGTAAGTTATGCCCTTGATATTTGTCACTATTTGATTTAGCTCAATATTTTTTTATTGTTAGCTTAAGGCCGTACCATAGACCAAGGTTATGATTTTACGTAGGTAAAAGTATGTTGTATATTATATTAAATAAACAACTTCTTTAATTTAATTTATAATTTACAAGTGGTTCACTCTAATCTGCGTTAGTAGATCGCCATCTTCAATAAGGATATCTTCAATATTCCTATAGGGTCCTTATAGGATCCTTTACATGAGCTAACTCATATGGCTCTCTGTGATTCCAATAATGAATGAATAAGTTTAAGCGTTAATGATCTTTTTTTTTTTAATTTTCAGGTTCCATCGTGGTGGTGTCGTACTCGCTAATGGGTCGCCGCCTGTGTTCAGTGCTGCCCCCATTTGATCAAACGGAAGGGAGCGCAAACAGTCAACAGGTGATATAATGTACTTCAGATTAAGTTTACAGTTTCGTGCGGGCGTAAGACAAGTATCTCACCATCACGATTTTATTAATAGACACTACATTTGTTTAATAAAACCTATAGAAAAGAATATAAGGTGTTTGTTGGTTTAAAATTAATAAGTAGTAATTGAATAAAGAATGCCGGATAAAAGTATGAGGAGGTATACAATCCGTAAGTAGGAGCGTGTAGAATCCGAGGAAAGTTTAATAAGCAAAATAAATAAATAAATAGAAGGTAATGTACAAAAGGCAAAGGAATGAACAATAATTTAAGAACTCGTTAACTTGTTTTTAACCTTAAATATAGTAATTTGGCTCTCTCCAGTGCAGGATAAAAAAAGATTCCGAATATATTTCGTTCTTGTTACAACTTCAGACTTTATACAATCTATATACTACTTCTTAAATAGATCAAGCTCTTCTAATGCGCGTCTTTAATATTAAAGAAGAGACCGACTAAATCATTTGCATGCATCTATAAAGGTAAACACGTGAGACTTATTGATTTTTTAAATCTATGAATGTACTTACCATACAAATAAATTCTGAAAGGTAATAACAAACATTATTATTCTTTTCCATACCTTGACCCTCAAACAAATCTCTTAGTTGCATCATTATCATATGCCTACTTATTAAGGCACTTCATAATCGATTCTACTTTATTCCGTTAATAAGCCAGCAAGAACAAACTGTCTATGGTAACTTATGCAAAAAAAGCTCGATGGCGTAGCGCGTTGGGACTGTGGTGCGAAAATTAAGCAACTTTTGCAAGGGCTTATGTAATCATGTTGTGTATATTAAGGATTGCCGTCTAGACTTATAAAAACTTAATAGGTAATACTCTTGAATGAATTAATGAATGATAATTTTAACTCTTAAATATATATATTGTACTGATTGTAATCTGTCAGTGTAACTTTAAAATAGAGTAATATAAAAATATTCTACTAATAGCAGTTTGCATATTTTCTACACCCAAAAAATAAACAAAAAAAAAGCATTTTACTGGCAAAAATTCTTTTCATTTTTAGTTTAAATATTAAGCGTAAAAGATTTTATCTTGCTGGGATTATGAAAAGCTGTGAATTCCAAATTGTTCAAAGATTTTTATATAGATCTTTGGTCCTATTGACATTGGACCTGAATGAATAAATTTAATACAGGTTTAATAGAGATTTACTAACCTGCGACTCGTTGAAGTGGAGCAGTTACAAATATCAATAAAAAGTGATTTTTCTTTACTTAAAAATACTCTTTGATCATCACCGAATAAATTACCAGTACTTTCGTTTATTGAAAAACGGCGTCAAGTTGCTATTGAGCTGAGATTAACTTCATACTAGCTTAGATGGTTGAAATAATAATCATGAATTAAGTGTAGCATTTGGTAATTTGAAAGTTTAATCCAGCCCGAATTATATTATATTTTTCAGATACTATTATTCAATATCTTATTTATATATAGTTTTTTATTGGAAATAGTAAGTAAAGATTTTTTCAATAATATTATGGCTAGAACGAGACGTAAATATAGATATATAGTAGATAGTCGAGGGGACAATGGCTACCTGTAAGTAGAATGGTAACGAAGTTGAAAAAACGTTACCGATAGGTAACACATCCCACAGTTTCTATTTACTAGCGCATGCAAAGCAAAATACAGTGTGCTAATATAAAACTAGAATTATATCAATTTCAATATCGAAAGTTATTTAAATTAAAGAAATAAAATATTTTATATTTTAATCGGACCGAAACGAGAGATAATATCTACTCTCTCTTACTAGTCAAGTAACATCTTAGTTTCGAGGCTGTTTGCGTCCTCTAGCATATGGGGCTTATGGGACATTCTCACTTACTTAAATACAGATAAATCCATATTACGATGTACAAATTTCTCAAATGACTCCAATTGGATTTAATCGTAAGTTGCTAATAGTCAGGTTCAAAATTCATTCGCACATGGCGTGATAATTTAGTGTTCTGCTGTGTTACTATGAAAAATGTTTAATTCAAAAAATGTATAAAAGTATTTTCAATAATAATTTTCTACTTAGCTACATCAGTAACTTTGAAAGCCTTAACCTTGCGTTGCGACTACCATTTGCTTGCTACCCTAACGGTAATTAATTTCTCTCTAATTATACGGGACTTCGTAGGAAATATAATCAACCACGGCCCTCAATGTAAATTGAAAAGCTTTTTTTAAGTAACTAGAATTTTTTTCACATAAGTATTTCAGTGCAAAGCACCAATTAGAAAGTATAATGTTTTTTTTTATAACTTTCAATTTCCCATAATCACGCAGTGTGTAGAACTGGTGACGGTTGTTCAGGAAGCTACACGTGTTATACTGATTATTAGGAAGACAGGAATATGTTTTATTAAGACTAATACAATAAACAATAAACTAATACAATAGTTTTATTAAGACTAATAAAATAAATTGAGTCCAATTAGGACACTAAAAATACAACTTTTATTTTGATAACTACGTTATTTCCAATTTTGTTTTTTTTTTGTTTTTTCAGCGATTACGTCTTGTCCGTGAGAGAAAGCGTGTAGCTTGGATTCTTCTGCTGCTCGCGGTGCTATTCGCACTCTGTTGGCTACCATACAACATTCTTCAACTACTACTCGATATAAATGCTGTCCAGGTGGACTCCGTGTCGTCTGTACTGCCCTACACGCTTTTGTTGGGTGAGTATATTTATATTTACAATTTATTTAACCAAATACTAGATACCGTTTGTCAGCTTCATTCAATAAAACGGCCCCTTTAGCGGTTTTCTTGGATGTATTTTGCATGATGATTACAATTTTTCATATATTTCCGATCCTTTATAGTTCTTTGGCATTTTCGATCATTTAAATGGAGTTCGTCATATTATTCTACAATTATACAAAATATCAATTAGATGTCAACATACACGAAGGTCAGACGTAATTAACCTAAATATAGAATGCAAGTATAGCGGAAAGGAAACCAATTCCATTTCACTGTTCTATAACCGTAACGAGCCCTTGGTTGTGTAATGAACCGGTAAAAAGGCCGCACGTGTCACATATTCCATCAAGTCATCGCATGAAATTCTTCAGAGTGAAACATTAAAAATATCAAAAGGTACAGAAACATAAATACCCTATCATATTTTCGAGATAGTAAACTTATTTGTTCATATGTGCTGTATGTTTGGCAACGTATTAAATATTTCGTAAAACTGATTGACTGCACCCTTTTTGTTTAGCAAAACAATGTTTATAGAATGTATTAAAATGGTTGCAAATCGGCGGTCTCACAAAATAAAATGTTCAAATTTTGTTTAGAACTGCACGTAATAAATTTGGTATTACCCTGTGAGATTCCATTAAAATAATGTAAAATTACACTCTTATCTATTAAGATTAGACGCTTATAACAGATGTAAAATTCCTGATAAGTTTATCAAAAATCTGTTTTGGAAAATCACCGCTCTTCCATTGCCACCAAAACAAATAGTTAATACAACGCTTTCAAATAGCTTTGCCATTGTGTGTGGACGTGTTTCTATATTGTAAAAAGTCAAATGAAAATTAAATCATATTCAAAATGTGGTCACTATCATAAATTTCTAACCAATATTGTTTTAGCAGATTAAATTTTTATACAAACATAAAAAGGTATATAAAGCTTCAACTTTTATGTAAAATACTATTTTATAGCACTACAGGAGAACTATTACAGTTTAGGTTCAATAAATAAAAACTCATGCCTGATTGAGCATTATTGTCATAGTAATTAGGAAAATTCGACAACAGTATTCGACAGTTTCATAAAATGGATCATTTTTTTTACCTGATTACGAAGCAAAAAACAGCTATGATTTTGGTCGGTATGTACCATTGTGCAACCCTAAAATAATTAAAATTTAATTTACATTAAACAGATTGATCCAAAAAATTAGAAAACAAGAAAATATTCTCACGTGAAATATATGAGATGGCTGCGCCACATAAAACAACAAATTATAAGCTTAACGGCAAAGTATAATTACTTATTTTATACTAATGAATCTTGTTAAGGCATACTTCTTCTTAACTTAATGTTATTTCACTGGAAGTTTAGCAAATTGAGTTCGCTTAAATTGTTAATTGGAATATTTGGCTTATAAGTGTTGATTTTTTGAAATGATTTTATATTAATTTATGATGAGCCGAAGTATAATTAATTATTGAACGCGAGATCGAGAAAATATTTTATTTTTATTTATTTATCCAGGTAACATATATATATATATATATACGTGTTTGCTTTCCAGCGTCGATATATAAGCAAACACGTAGTAACTCGCAAAACCAAAGTTGTTCTTCAGAGCAGAAAAACTTTTATTTTTGTCGATAAATAATTTCTATAAACGTTTATGGTAACAAATAAGGTGTTCCTTGGTTAATTTATACGGAAACAAGATGTATATATATTTTTTAATTTATAGATTTTCCACTCTGAATATCCATTTCGATATATATATATATAAAATTCTTGTGTCACTGAGTGACTGACTGACTGATTTACAGATAACGTGCACCCCGAAGGGGCTAACTTAGGGAATGGAAGTTTGTTTGAAACTTCGTTACTAGAAGTGCTAGGACTTTCAAATTTTGCATGAGGATTTTTTTAGGACGTAGGCTCACTTAGACGGAATTTTACGAAATTCGATCCCTAAAAGGGAAAGTTAGGGGATGAAAGTTTGTATGAAACTTCGTTACTACAAGTGCTAGGAGTTTCAAATTTTGCATGCAGTTTGTTTTTTAAGACGTAGGTGCTCAGTTGCTCACTAACACGGGATTTTGCGAAATTCGATTAATTTTTTTTATGGAATTTTCTCATATATAAAACAATTTTTAAGCTCTTGTTAACAAACAGGCCTATAGTGCCATAGATTGATATTACTCATATTAGCAATAGATATTGCATGTAAATGACGAACATCACATAAACAGTATAAAGAATTATCAACCAAAACAATGTCATAGATTGTTGTTATCAAAAAAGAATTCACTTACTTTTCTTTTAAAAATATTAAGTAAAATTGAAAATATATCTGTATCATTTAAAAAAAAAAATATTGTTAAAAACTCATGTTCTCCCTAGAATGGTATTCTGCGCATATTTCGTATGACAAAACGCAATATAAAAAGTATCTTTGGAACGTGACGAGGATCGCCGAACCATCAATGAAATTCTTTGTAATAAAAGTTAATTTATTTTCTATGAATATTAAATATTATTATCGCATTCAGTAACTAATATTTTATAAAATATCGTACTTAATATTAACATATTGGTAGAGGTTATAAAAAAATACATTATTATAAAATGCATTATTATATCAACAGTTTTATCAGTGTTTCTGAAAATTAAAGAGTACTTTCAAATAAAATCACAACGATTACAGATAAAAGTTCCGAAAACCGTCTCTCTTGGTGTAGAGAGATAAAAAGACGTGACGGAAATGAGGTAGTACAGGTAGCGCTATATCTACCCGACCAATAAAGAGGCAAAGGTCGCCCGCTTTCGACCTGTCATGCGATCGCTTAACTCCATGAGCCATGACTTCGGAGGCACGGCCAGCCCATAAGATACGAAATCTGTGATTCCATATAAGATATAAATGAATAAATAACTGTAATAAAAAGTATTATACCATAAAAACCTTAGGAAAAACAATGCAATATGTCTATCAATTACATGACATTATAACATTAGAGTATAGACAAAATATGTACCATACAATACTCTCTCGATAACATCATAGCGATGTTAAGACGATATTTCATTTAAATTTACTACTTTAACATGTCTTTTGCTACTTAAACGAAAACTTGGTAACACTGCTTTAAAATCCATAATCATTATTCATTCGTTCGTCGAAATTAAATTACATCTAAATATATATAACTCAAAGGTGACTGACTGACATAGTGATCTATCAACGCACAGCCCAAACCACAGAACACGGAAAAGAGGTTAGAAAGGCGATCATGCATCCTTTGTACGAAAACCGATGTAGCCAGTCTTGCCCCACTTTTAGTCCGCCGTACATCAGACGAATAATCGGACCAATTTTACAAAAGATTGAGACACACTTGTATTTTAAACATGCCAATCAGAACCCCCACAATATAGCTATAACCAATCACGCTCAACCATAACAGACATCTATAGTGCGTAATAAACGTGTAAAAGCCATTTTAATTTGACATATCACACTAGTGATTGACATAAAGTTATTTACTATCGATATAGAAAAACAACAAGTCGATTAATTGAAAGGATACTAGATTAATGATTTCTTTATATTATATTGGATATACATTGAATTGTATTGATTGTATGAGACATTATCTTTTTTCTTTAGATATAAATTCTTAATTAGTTGGTTGATTCAATAAGAAATATTTAAATTACTAATGAACTAACATTGAATCGGTACTAGTCGAGCTTAAATATTTGCATATAAATATGTTTGTTTATTAATAATAATAGTAGGTTTTTATTACGTTACGTTACTCGATTTCGTATCAAGTAAACAGATAAGATCCGCAATATCGCTTAAATGAAACTAGTAATATTGACAAACAATATAATGTAAATAAATATATACAAAATAAAAAAATATTGTACTATCAGTACAATAAATGCCATTGGAACTTATCCTGAACAGACTCCGATGATTTAAAAAGTGTTGTTGTTAATGGTTCAAAATAAAAATAAAAAACTAGTTTTCTGTTACAATATTAAGAATATAAAAACAGACTTATTACCACACTCATTATTAAATTAATATACAAACGCATTCCAAACGAAGTCAATATGGTTAATCTCTGATAAAATTTATTTTTTATTACCACTATTTTTATTGTCCATACTTTTATTTAGTTTTTACTACCTAACATACCAAGAATCGATTAAATGTTTCCAGGCACTTCACTACCCATCTACCGTAATCTATTATGTTGCTATTTAAAACGGTAATTTCGCGATATACATTACATTACGTGCTTAGTAAGACGCAATGTAATAAATATGCGCACTTCTCCAGCAATGTATATTTTCTTGGAAATATTTTTTGAGATTCACACTTTTGATAACATTTCACGATTTTCGACTAAAAATGCTAAATTTGAGAAGTGTTCTACTTAATAATGGAAAGAAATCCTTCCTTTGGACCTACTTGAGGATGGGCTTCTTGTTTTGCAATTAATAACTGCGAAAGTCGGCATTTTTAACACTTTTAGTGGCGTGTATCACAGTACTTACAGCGCGCGCGTTCGTGAATGACTAAACATCGCGATCGCGTGGTGAAGTCATGATCCTGTACATTTGTCTAGGATCGTGGCTCTACTGCCACGCCCACAAGGCCCTTCTAATGTCTTTCTGTGTTCTGTGGCCCAAACCACTGGACGGATCGGGTTGAAATTTGGTATGTAGGTAGATGTTATGACGTAGGCATCCGCTAAGAAAGGATTTTGATCTATTCTACCCCGTAAGATAAAATAGGGGATGAAACTTTATTTCAGGTATGCTCAAAGTAACTTTACCATGCGGAAAGTCGCGGACAAAAGCTAGTGTCAATATAAAATCATTTTTTTTTAATAGAAAGTATTTGAACATAGTATAATGAATTTTTTTATCAATTTAACATCTATTTTTATAATAGGGAGAAAAAAGCAGCCTTTCCGACCGGAGAAAATCCGGTACAAGGTATCCCGCGAACCGATGGCGTAGAATTTGGATTATTACGAAAGTAAACCATCGTTCAGTAAACACGTTCTTTTATTTTTCTTCCGTAACCATATACCAATAGGTTATGGACTCACTTTACGTAATCTTAAAGTAATATATTTTGCGTATATAGTAAAAAAAATATCCATTAATAATTTAAAACAAAAAATATAGCACTTGGAAGTTTCGTGGGAGGTCACTTTTAGATGAGTTACAACTTTTAAGTGTTATTGATACAGAGCCGCCGCAAATACCGAACTAAGAATGGTCGAGGAAAACTTATTGGCAAAAGGTAAGATTGTGGAATATCTTAGTGACGATTTTATAAACTTTGCAAAAGAAAAGACTCAGTAACTGCAAAAGGTATTTTCGATAACGTAGATAAAATTTACAAGAGAAAAAGTTTAGCTACACAGTTGGCATTACGCAACTAATTATTGAATTTGAAGTTGCAACCTGATGTTACATTATTTCAACATTTCATAAATTTTGATAATTTCGTAAAAGAGTTAATTTCAGTAGGAGGAAATGGATAAAGTTTATTGGTAACCCTACCCGCATATTATGACGGTCTTATAACTGCTTTGGAAACACTTGGAGAAGATCAATTGAACCTCGCTTTTGTAAAAACTCGTCTTCTAGACCAAGAAGGAAAATTAAAAACTTAGCCAGTTACGGAATTTAAAATTTTGCGCATATCTGTTAAGAAAAGTACACCTTATAATAAATCTGGTTATGACAAGAAAAACGTTCAATATACACACAAAGAAGAATAATTTTTCAGGAAATACAATGCATAAGATATCGAAGAGAGTACTACGTGGATAAATGAGCTGCGTAATATGTTTTATTATAAAAATTATAAATCCAGTTTCCGCAGTCAAAAAACCATATCATAACATGCAGTGAAACTTAATAAATGTGTCAGATTGTTATTTCTGTCATAATATCAGGAATAGTGAAAGTGGAAAAAAATGTGACAGTGATTACTACATGAAAGCAATAACAAAAAAGATAAAAAATTTAAATAAACTATGTTTTATACAATGTTTTATAACAGGCAATGCAAAAACCTTGAGAAGTATTTGAAAAGAAAAGGATGCCATTATAAATTTTAATTAATATTTTTTTACGTTGCCATCTATTGTCCGCCTTAAGAGTTTAAATAGAAATAGTGTGGTCCTCTATTAGCACGATCAAAGTATAAAACAGAAAAAGGATAATTCTCTGTACCCCTGCACGTACCGCAAGATGGCAAGGCCCTGTGCTGGATGCTCACATACGCTCCCTTAAAGAGAATTTCTAACATGTTCCCTTATGTTATGTTGATGAAATCAGTAGTCAGATTTAACAACGCAATGAATAATAATCACAAAAAGAATTGGAAATGCCAACTTTGTTGGTGTCAGATGCCCAAAACTGACAATAGGAATACCCCTGCGCGAGGTCAAAACACGTAAATCAAAATTCAACACGTTAAGAAAAATCATTCAAATAAATTATGGTTGGTTTTGATTCAAACGGCTATAAGCTAAATAGCTTATAGCCGTTTGTTGTCCATGTAGCTCGTGGCGTTATATTTGATGAGATTCATCTTAAGCAATGAAGACCAGCGTATAGCAGTAGTAACAACATTGTAATTCTCAATCTACCCCTGTTAGAGAAGAAGTCTAGTTGAAATCTCTATTGATGAGTATTTCAATGCAAATTGATGAACCTATTGTCATTTTTGAAGACAATAATATTTGCATCTCCATTGCCAATAACCATTCAAATCATAAAAGATCGAAACACATCGATATTATTCATAAATACCATTACATAAGGGAACAAATCGCTAACAAGTTGGAATCTGTTTCCACAGGAAACCAATTAGCTGATTAATTCACAAAAGCGATACCCTAGTTCCTAGATCTACTATGAAATCTGAATTTATTAAAATTTGTTTCAATTGATTAGATTGCAATTGAATGTTTGTGTAAATGTAAGTACTTGATAAAGTATTTCTAAACATTGTTACAAAAAAATCATTAAGTTATAATTTTGATTCTAAGAAGTAAATACTTGAAGTTTTGAGGGGGCTGTTGCAAAATATCAAAAATCCAAGCCTTCACTATATAATTAGTAAATTATTCGTACAATCAATAACTAATTCAATCATTCATTCTGTTCAATATTAATTCATTGATATATTTGTGATAACACATTAAAGACCGTCGATCAATAAACATGTTCTTTTATTTTCCTCTCGTAACCATATACCGAGGTGAAACCTAAAATAAACCTAAACTGAATAAGTCATCTACAGAATAGAAGTGCAGTTCAGTTTTCAAATTACTACTTATTAGAGCTTTATGTAGTTATTTCAAACAAGATTTTTGGTTTAGGCACTCTCCATAACAATACCTAATGTGGCTTCGTTATGATGTAATTAAGAAAGTGATGATTGTACCAAAGTTATTTATTTCATCATCTATCATCTTAAATGTATATAATTATAAAATATTATAAAAGCAAAAATATACAAAAATTATCGATACAAATGTTGCTTTACCATTATCATATGATATATCATGCAAGTTGAACCATTACCATCCCTAAAATATTACAAAGCTGTGTCGGTTGGCTCATGTGTCATGTCATCTTTTCAGAGTTTGTGTCTAGACTAATAGTCGTTGCTTAGCTTACCGTTAGTTAAAATAGTATTTCATTAATCAAGATCATGTTTGATTAATAACACTGTATGGAGGTAGAGAATGTATTTCAAAGTGTATTTTGCGAAAACAAATAACCATCCGAGATTGTTTTTCATGAGTGCCAAGTTTAAGATGATTTGTAAATTTTACCAAGTTTCTAGTAAAATATTCTTATTAAAAAATGTTGTATTTTTAAAACAATACAACATTTTTACAATACAACATGTATTTTTAAAACAATTACTATAAAATTTGCTGTCCGAAGATTGACAAACCAATAATTTTCTATATAGATAAACGGCGACGGGCTTGACAACTTGTCTTGCTCGAAGCTATTGTTCTCCGCGTCGCAGGCGCAATCCAGTTTTATGAAAAGTACAAAACTCTTGTACGCGCTCATTGTGATACATTTCAACCGATGGCAGCGTAACATCAACATGTAGTCCTTTAATATTCTTTCGCGGCCGCTGTAGTCGCGAACGTAAAATTAACGTTTATAATTATGTTTCTTTAATTAATGTATTCAAAATGATATCCCCGTATTGGGGTTCCTTCCCGCTCCTGAGAAGCTTCATGATCACATAACATCTGGGTGCTGAAGCGCTGGCTTCGGCCCCATCTTCTGGCCCTAACATCCAGACCACTGGACCTCTTCGGCCGTACATCTCGCCGGAGCACTACCAGGACAGTGAATGACCAAGACCTAGCTGTTGCGAATGGTTGACTAGGGCCATATATAATTGTACCTATCTATATACTGATCCACGTTGCGAGCTTCCCGTTGTACCCTAACCCTCAGATCTCATGTCTCTCTACTTTTTGGGTAGTAAACGTTTATTATAAAAAAATATTTGTTTTATTACCCATAATCTGTTAACGCACTTACGGGTCCTAAACCTACTAAAGAAATACCTAATAACCTCTTTTTTTCCAAGCGTTACAGTCCCTGGCACTCTGAAATGGGACTCAAACCCAGTATCTTTCGCAATCCGGGCGACTGCTTTAACCACTGACCTACCCAGGACCAAACAGGTCTGACGAATTTTTTAAGAACTTGTTATTTTATCGCTACTACAGAGCGTATTTCCGTGAATGTTCAGGGAATTCATCCAAACAGCTGAAAGATATATTCATACAAATATTTTAAAAAGTTGTTTCATTTATAGATAGTGCGCGTGATAGTGAGAAATGAATACGTATATTCAAATTGTAACCGATTTCTGCGTGTTTATTTACACCCTATTGGACATGGCGTAAAGGTCACAAGCGTTTTCATAAAATAGGGCGTGATGATTTGTGTCCAATATTCGTCAGGTTACACATTAATGAAAGACGCAACGGAACTCCATAGTGACTTGCGTATTATTATTTTTCAGGGCACGCAAACTCAGCGATCAACCCCATAGTGTATTGTCTGATGACGCGCAACTTCAGGCGTTCGCTGAGGAAACTCGTCTGCCACGACCCCGGTAACATAAACTCTAGTACTCATTTCCATGTAAGTTCACCCAGATCGAACATACGTTGTTTGACAACATTTCAATTATAATTATCGTACATCATATTTGATAAATTCCTGCATCTTTAATATTTATTTTTCCGCGACTTCATGTAGCTTACCGTAGGTCAAAGTATTTTTAAAATGGATCCAATAGTTTCAGAGTCTACTCAATGCAAAAAATCAAAACATTCTTCTTCATAATATTCAACCTTGCACACACGACTAATGATCTGTCGCATACTTCCGTGAGACGTTTGACGGACTTTGCGTTGCGTCAGATTTGTCTCGGTCCCAATTATTACTCACACCAGAAATACATTAAGTGAATAAAGAATTTTCAAATGGTAACATTGCAGAATTTATGGTAATATAATATTCAAAACGTGCAAATGTTGTCAAGCAATCATATATTTCTACTATACGTTACCATAATATTTTACTATCGTATATCATAATATTTAGCATTGCACAATCACATCCAGCACCTCTGTCCATTATTTATGAATATTATTAGTCTGTGTATTTGTTCAATTAGTTTGATACTATATAAATATAATTTATCTTCTTTGATTATCGGAAATTTTATTCTTGAAAGAAAAGAAATAGTTCAACTCTTGGTAACATACAGTGTCTTGTTTCGAATTAAATAACAATTATATTTTATTCATTTAAAATAAAATCTGTTTCATTTTGTTGTTGAAGTATCTTAATTAACCATCCTGTAAGAGATGCCTTGTTCAATTTCTGGATCATGAAAATGATATATTTATTACTGCCACCTCCACAAATTCGTAGCTATAAGTCGTGAAGCTTCCCGAAGTAATAAACATAAATAAAAATTATTTTAAAAGTATTCACCATGAAAGTTCACATCTCGTTCACGCGTACACATATTTACGGTACTCCATGCTGATGTATTTATTTTACAGTTATTTATTTTAGTTGAACTTCTTGTCTAAATGTCTCTTATTAATTATTTTAGTTGTTCGGTCAGGTGAATGTTGCTATATCGTCACGGGTCTGGTTGTTGTGGTGTCTTCATTGTCTCAGATACTCCATAATACGGGGGTTTAGCTACTAATCTTGAAATCTGAGCAATATTAAAATGATTTTGTCTAGTATTTATTATTTTTCTTTGTAGGTATAAATTGTTGTATAATGTATCTACAGCAAACAAATTTAATCCATCAATAGATGTCGATTTCGCGTCTTCACTCATGATCTACGTAATGTTAAAGCTATGTTGGCACAGTAAACAAAGCTGTAGCAACAGTAGATTCTACATCCATTCCATTGCATGCTTTAATCACGAATGTGTAACCTGTAAATATAGAGGCACTTATGACGTCAAATCACGGCGTTAATTACAGACAATAAATTGCACTACATGGTACTTATGTGGAATCACTATAAAATTAACTATCATGATATATCGTTAATTTTTTTGAGTAACTTAGAACGTGATGTGAACGGTTTTTTTGAGCAAATACCATCTAAGACCTATTAATTGGAGTGCTAAAAAGTCAACTAGAATATGTTTCAATTATAGTATCACTAGTAGATAGAATAATTTAATTTCATCATATTATTGTTGGATTTTTAGCACCAAAGTCAACAAACACAAAAGATTTATTAGATGACTTTACATTCAGGTTCATATTTTTTCACACATTTGTACGACATATTATGTATACTTAACCGTAAATGTTTCTCGTCTATTTACAGCAAGCTTATTCCCAACAGATGCAAGGATTGCGTCAAAAGTCTAACACCTCTAGTATGAGGACGTGTACAACCGTCACGTTCAGGAGTAGCAACAACCTGGCGAGAGCTCCGTGCAACCCTGCCATACAATATGGAAGGGTTAACAGGAGCTCCATGAGAGAAAACAGCTTGCATAGATATTCTAAGCCTCAGTACTTGTAAAGGTGAAAGAAATTTAGGAATTATTTATATGAAAAATATTGACTTCTGCACACCTTCTTTGTTTGTCCACGAAATAATATTTGAAACATTTCAAATCGTTCTTATAATTTAGTAAAAATCATATCCATGAAGATTATCTGTGCATCAAAATGGCTTACATTGGAGTCATATAAGCGTTTCGAAAATTGCGTTTGAGGATAAACAAAGTAGGGCTGAGTTTTAGGGCGAGTAAAACAATGTCACCATTTCATTCGCCAACTTTGGCTCTGATTGAGCTGCCATCAGCCTAAAATATACCAAAATAATAGCATATTTTAATTTAATTTTGTATTTTAGTGTTAGTAGAAAATTTTAATGGCTTCTATTTCAGAAACGTTATACTTTATAAACGCCCTATAATTATCAATGTCGCTTGATTAAAATAAGCTTTAAACTGCTTTTGTATACATTAATAATGGCTTTAAGAGCCATATTTTATCAAGATGCCATGGCTGGCGTAGGATATAGTTCTCTGGGCCGTTTCCGATTCGTTTACTATAGACAGAGGAATCGGAGGGTTTTAGTGGGCTATTTAATTAGCCTTTCTTTCTGTATTGTTTTCCCCAGGCAAAAGACCTAAATTACTTTGATAACCCCCGCTAGAAGGAAGATTATATAGAAATGCATATTCGTTCGTCAAAAAAAAAGGATGCCTTGCGGCACCGTTAATTAAAATACATACCAAATTGTATTGTTACGTACCTAACTCTACCTCACTAAGGGTGGTGCTTCAACTTGACTGCGATGTTATTTGGCGTTACGACATTTCCAAATAAATGTGTATGAATCACCGCTAACTCATTTCACGGCTAGCTGCGATGCCATTTATGATACTTATTACAATTGGCATCCACTTTGTGTGGCCTCAGAAAAGCTGCTTAGGTTGCTGTCATGGCATCAAATGAAATAAAGCTCTGAGAGTGTATATAATCGGAGAAGATCCACAAACGATTTATTAACGCTATTAGGTGTAATAAGAATGAATATGGTTGGTATTACGCATCCAATGCTAACTTTAAATAACCAAGACCAATCCAATAATATAGAAAGTAAAGCGAAAAGGAAGTTTTCTTTATTCGCTTTTTACTTTCATTGAAATTATAAATAATGCTTTAACCCACAGCGGTGTCAAAAAAAAGACAATTCGTATTAAGCTTTTGTGAAAATTCTTTTGCTATTTCAAAGTGAAAATTCAATTTCAGAAATCCAATTATAGCAATTGTAATCGTTTTTATCAAAATCATAGTGTAGCGACGTCTTATAAAGTCTGTCAGTTCTTTGTAATTATACCGGTGAGAAGTTAAGCGTTTCTTATGAAAAAGCCAGTTTGATCTCTTCTATAATAATCGTGACTAATGTAAACAGTTCTTTAAATTTTTTAGTGCGTAAGATTAGTATTATAATGTAAATGTATAATTTATTTATTACGCATAATAATATAACGTATTTATAATTTTAGCTTCATGAACTTGTATAATGTAGATATATAATATAAGTATTATAACGAATAGAAGTATCGCCATTACCCTGTACATATTTTCAACCTCGTACTCGTCGTAGAACGCATCGCTGCCACATCATAGAGCTTTAACGAAATAAAACCTTTATTACCTTTTGAAGGTTGTATTTTAATAAGGGCTGTTATTAGAGCATAGATCTGTATTTATTTGCATAGGTCTACTGCAAAAGGTAATAAAGGCATAGTATATACATTAAGTAATGGGTTATTATCACCAGAATACCATACAGTACCATATAAAAAAAAAGTAATATATCGTACATTCAACACAACAAGATATTTATTAAATTTTATCACATACGTTGTATTTATTTAATTTCAAATAGTTGTGAACAGAAAAATAAGGTCCAAATTAACTGTATTTCAATTCAGAAAACTACATCAAAGGTTTAAAACAAAATGCCAATGCGGCACATTTTTTTGTATGGTTGAAATGTTTATTTATTCAAATTCGTTATATGAAAAGGTATCAATGAACATACGAGTGTATTGTATGAGTTTTTATTAAATCATCAATAAGTTTATGTCGAGTATATTTAACATTAGCAAGCAATCATAAGGTTAATTTTACATTTGAACTAAATTTAAATTTCATCTTATGAAATACAATTACTACAATATTCTTAATGAAAAATGCTTTAAAAAAACCACTTTGTCCCTGGCACTCTGAGATGAGACTCGAAACCATGACCTTACACAATCCGAGCGACTGCTCTAGCCACTGAGCTACCCAGGACCTTACAGGACGATAAGATGTGTAAATAACAAAAATGGTAATTCTTAACATCGAATATTACACGAATCACTTCTTTGTTATAAATTATAGAATAATTGTTTTATATAGATTTTAATATTAGTCATTTATATAAAAAATGTTGATGTACAATATATATATTTAATACTTTAAGAAAATGTAAATAAAAAAAAATGTATTTTTTTATTTTCTATTATTAACCTAATGAACTGACAATATAAATTTGATCAAATATCGATTTGTTTATTAACTACGGCTCCGAAACTACTTGATCGATTTAAAAATTCAATCATCTACATGAAGCTACATCATACGTCGGTGACGTAGGCTATAAATTACGTGGGTAACGTCACGGAAAAAGAGTAATTAAGCGATCTCTATAGGTAAGTACAAATCATAATATAGCCCGCACCCAGCTGCATCGCGTATCTATTGCAGGGCTTGGAAACCGATTAATTTTTTGAACCGATTCGACGTAAGTACATGCACAACTTTACATAAAAGGTTCAGCTCCTTTGAACAGGTTTTTAAACTAGTTCACTAGAAATACGGTTTTCTTCACTAACCGGTTTAAATATGACTCCAACCAATGATCTCACAAACTTCAGCGCGGTTTTTAAGTGCCTTTACTCCTATCTATAACATCCTTACACAGGTATGATAAATGTCATTGCTTAAAAATGATATAACTCGCATTAAAAGCGTAAGAACATTGCTTTTTACGAACCAAGCGAATTAACCGATTTTTATTCCATCCGAATTTCACTCCGCATTCAGTTCCGATCCGGAACGGAACATTATAAAAGAACAGGTTTTACCTAAATAAAAACGGTTTATTCTGAACCGGTTTCAAGCCCTGATCTATTGTCATTAGTCCCGATGTTACATGTCCTCACTACACAGTATAAAACAAAGTCGCTTTCTCAGGCCCTATATCCCTATGTATGCTTAAATCTTTAAAACTACGCAGCGGATTTTGATGCGGTTTTTTTTTTTCATAGATAGGGTGATTCAAAAGGAAAGTTTTTATGTATAATACAAAACCACGCGGGCGAAGCCGCTGGTGGAAAGCTAGTGGAATTATAAAGCGCATATAACACACGTAGCGACACGCTATGGTGTTTTGATACAATTCCGGCTTTAATCTGACTTATTTATGTATGTATGTATGTATTATATATTTATTTATGTTATGTAATTTGTTATGTAAATTTATTTCCATTTTTTATATATATGTATCTATCTATTGTTTAAGTGTAAGACATTTTATTTATATTTTGCATAGTACCGCCTCATTAAATTCTTTATGTCTTAACTCTCCGGTTGACTGGTAGAGAATGCCTACTGGCATTAAGTCCGCCATTTGTATACTTTATTTGTGCAAAAAAGTTTAAATAAATAAATAATGGCAAGGTTATTTTATGCCACGGTTTTAATATTTTAGACTGTCATTAGCAATTACTGTGATTCTTTGACGACGCCTAGGAAGTGAAGCGTTCATTTATTAACATGCAACAATGCTACTCATTTGTTTACTCGGCGAATACAACTTTAATTATGTTTGTCATTTACTGGTACCGCGTATAACTTGACAGAAGAACTCATTTGAAGTCCAAAGTCGACAAAAGTAATTAATGGGTAAATCAGAATTCATTGTCGTTAGCGACACGTTGTGTGATTGTAAACGAAGTTTTGAATAAGTTTCGTGAAGACCCACTTTAAACTGACATTAATAGCGCCCTCTTTTCCGATGGTACTAAATTATTTTGCAGTAGAGTAGCATTTTGTTGGTTGTGTATTTACAACACACCGTTATTTCATGAGAGGAAACAAAATAGTGTCCCAATCACCGAATAGATGGCGCTGAATGTTTTATCTTCTTCATGTAGAGTAGATTGCTCCCGTATTATATCTTAAAAGTTATCAGACGAAATATTAATTTTATATTATTCAAAAATAAAAATTGATTGTAGCTATTTATTAATATGAAAAAGTAGGTATACTATATATATATATCTCGTTATGTAGTTTCTTTGTCAATAAACATAACTTAGAAGTTTATTTTTTACTAAAATAAATAAAATTGGGGTCTGTTTATAATATTGAAACAGCCGCATTTCACTAAATACATATCTATGTTAACACGGTACATATATAAAAATTTTTTTTTGTTCGTCTGTCTGTTGATCTGTTTGATCCGGCTCAACAGCGGGGGCACAGGGCCCAGTGCGGATTGATGGATGTCAACGACTTCAGATGCAGCCGGTGGTTTCTGAAGCTTTTTATTTTCTTTTATCACTTTTGTTGTTGTTGTGTAAATAGAATAAATTTTATTTTTTTTTCTTTCCATGAAAGCGCTCAGTCATATTCATATGTTATTTTATGCAAATTTTATGTCAGTTTTATTATTAATGAATTTGTTTAACGAAAGAATTATCCCTTTTGTATTACTCTATGTTATGGAATTTGACTTCATAGTCTTATGAAGTCATTTTTTAATTGGATTTCTTATTTGACTTTCAACTTTCACAACAGCCTTAGACTTTATTTATATTTAATTTAAATGTAGTGTATTATAAAGTCAAATCTTCAACAAAAACTGCGTACGAGCCTTCCTTTGTGTTGGTAACAAACTGGTCTCGTAAATTACGAGTGAAATACAACGATTTGTATGATTAATGAATTCTCTTGTCGGTACGGTGACGCTTTTTATGACAATAACCTTGTGTCCAGCCAAGCCTAAAACACTTACAATCTTTACAAAGCATATTTTGACCTTCAGCACATTACCTAAGCTATTGATGTAGACTATATCTGCAATCGTTAGCGTTAGTTATCCTTACCAATCCATACTGTGCCTGCGATGTTATCTTATACAATTCTTTAAGTAAATTAAATACATTGACGGGATTTCTAATATTTTTATATATTATATTAGTATATGTAGTTATGAAAGTA